CAGCTTTCAACCTAAATACACCCGCCCCATTTCCAACCAAACTACTGTACCTCACTTCCTTTTTATTATTACTATTTTACGCCTCACGAAACTAATATTAGCCTATGTCATTTGCATATATAATATAGTTACTTGCTGTGCGTGTATAATATATTTTATTCTATTTGATTTTTGGCAGGATTACGCGAATCGCTCTCTCGCGCACGCGATGTCAAACGACAAAAAAAAAAACATTTAAAATTTGGAAATCGCTTGAAACATTTTCACGCATTCCCTCTATCTTCCTTTCACATTAACGTCATGTTTTCCATTCAGTATTCGAAAATCATTTCCGTAAAATGTTGTTGTTTTTTATTCGGATTCGCGAGACGATAAAGCTTTTGTTTTCTTGTCCAAACTTAAATATTTGACATAATATTAAATTACCAAAATATATATCTGTAAACTAAAATTATATTAAAATTTGTGTCTGACGTATTGATAATATTTATAATAATTAAATAGATTAGTAGTCAAACACTAGGCAGTAGGCACTAGCAGAATAACTCTCAACTCGTGGAAACTTGAAGTAGGCACTAAATAGTATTGTATGCATCGAACTAGTTATAATTTTAAATTTATAACTCGTTGCAACGTACTTCTATACAATTTCAGTGAGTAGGAAGCTTGTAAGATAAACACTATGTAAAACAACCGATAATACATCAATAAGTATTAACATATTATTCTATTTACGCACCTTATCGGTTGTCTTATACAGTATAATTTTTTAGGCGTAAGGAATTGTAGTTCCCAAGTGCATGCGGTCAAACAATCCTCCTAAAAAGTAACAACAAACAAAATTGCAAATATTTGATTATCATTACGCGTTGCAATGAACCAAAGAGTAATAAATATTTAATTTAAAAAAATACTAATTAGTTTTTGTTAGGCGATGCAATTATTTGTTTATGTAATCTATCAAGTTTTATACGTGATTGACGTCAGATGAAAGTTTTGACGATGAAATGAATTACCTTTCTGTAAAACCACATAAATATTGTAGGACTAATTTTCATTGCTGCATTAGCGTCGAATATATTAATTTTCAAGGGCACCCTCAGAGGAGGGTCGTGAGGGGGGGCTTTTCCTCCCCACTATTATTTTCGATTTTTTTTAAAGCGTATATTAGAATACAAATCAGCAGTGTTGCAAGGGGATTATTGACGGGCGGCCGCCTCTGAGTTTTTAAGGAGTGGTGATGGGTGGGTATGGCCGATGAGTAATAATTTAATACTAACTAGTATTCCAGTAGGTATTTATACTGAGATAGGTTATTAAAAATCTGACAGTAAATGCCTTTAGCCCCCACCATAACTCGGGAACCGGGGTTTGAGAGTGAAATATTAGACTTGCCTTTAAAGAATTTCAAGCTCTCCACGCTACTGCTACAAATTGAATAATTTGAATTTTTGTTTAAATTGATTTTTTTTAATTGATTGCTGAGTGACTTAACATCAAAAAGTTTGATATTTGCATAGCATTGCATTACTTGGTATGACGGAAAACTTGTAGTCGCCCATTCTTACAATATTAGTAAGAGGTGTTGGTTGGATATTATGTATGTGAACTTTTCAACTGGATGTTAAAGTTCTAAGTCGTGTTGCCACTATCACCTCTGCCACATATGATTATGAATTCTACAGAAAAATATTATGTATGAAAAATTCACGTTTTCCAGAGTAAAATATAAACACATAATATGCATAGTGTGTTAACCGATTATAAGACCCACATATTTTTATGCTATAATACTGTGTAGTGATATACTATATATAGTAAAATGTAGAAGTGTAGTAAAACCAAGTAACCGTGTTTATCTATTAGATCTATAGATACTCGACCACGTAACCTATTGAATTTTGATAAGGTGTATCACGTCGAATAATTATTTAAAAATCTACCTACTTGGTTTCACACTTTCATGTGATTAGAGCAAATGATGAGTTTCTGATTGTTGCATATATTTGAGAGCTATTCTATCTACTTTTCCACGGAGTGTGCAGATCTAAATTTTTTAGTTAGCTATCTCACGGTCATAAATTGTGTGATATAATGATTATATGACATGTGTAGGTGCAAGCGTAATAATATGTTGGGGCAGAAAGTCTTTCCCAATAATGACCGTTTACAACTCACTAACGAACACATGAACTATTAACATTGCCTATACTCAACTCCCTAAAAACGGTCAGTATCCAATCCTCTTAATTTATTTACATTCGTATTATGATTGTTTACTAATGGTTAGGGCTTATGTTTATAGATGTTATTTCGTGTTGTCGGACATTTATGGAGTTCGAAGAAAATGTTATCCACTTTAAGGTGTTAATATTAATGTCCAGAATAGAAATAGCCATTTCAAAATAAGTCTACAATGTATATTATATTCTATAGACGAAAATCAGTACTAGCTATTATAGCTACCATTAATTAAATAATTTATTTTAATTTAAGGATGAATATAAAAAATAGGATCCAATATAATATTTTATAATTTAGATCATATAACACGGCTTACCGTCGTCTTTGGCTCTTTGATTATTTGTGCATCCATTTTTAATATTTTTGTATCCTCTATATCGATGGTATTGTTTTTGCCTTTTGGTTCTAAGTAATTTCTGCATTAATTGTCCATGTATATTATGTATTCAATATGCCTAGTATGAATAACCAGAATAAGTATGATATTAACACGAACAAAGTCGTTGGTATGAGTGTATGACCGATGGTCAAAGTTATTGAAATCCACAATAAAAGGCATAAGGTAATGAACAATAAAGAAGTATAAAGAAGCGATCGAAATATACGAAAAGGAAGTGGGTACCACAGAGTTCGAGAGCGGTGAAACGTAAATCTTGATGGTGTAATTCGACTGAGTGGTGGAAAACTGCAAAAAACACACAAAAACTGTTAAAAACACGAAAATAGAATGTATAAGAGGTGGGATAAAAAAAAAATTGATTTTGAACCTTTTTTGATGTAGTTTATTTATAAAAACTAAATTCTGAATTTAAAAATTTGAACCTATTTGGGGTTGGCCAAGTTTGTCTATATGTTTTTTTTTCTAAGCCTTGACTAAAATAGCGTGTACGGGAAATGAACAGGCGGACGGGTGACGGGGAGCTGGGCCGCTTATGGAAGTGGGTGGGTCTGTGCGAGGGGAAAATGATGCAAGTGCGGATATAGCGCTACCACGGACTAGGATGGAACTATTTCTATTATTAAATATTTATCATTTTTATACCTACCTAATACATTTTAGCTTTGGTAAAATGGCTTTGAGGGAAAATGTTTAAAAATTAAAACTACGTACCTAAATTATTTCACTTTATTTTATTGAAAACAAGATGGGTATACGCATCTACTATATCACCCATTAGCTTTGTGCTTATATATATTATAATTTACCTTCAGCATAATTACATCAGATGGGGTTTGTGAATACTTAGGAATAACGTCATCAGATGAAAAGTGTTTAGAACAAAATATGTATTTGAATGGTTTTAATTGGTTTATTGAATTATGTACTGCTAATTGCCGAGTTACATTATTACTATCGTATACTTTGAACATTGATTCATTTGTATGATCTTCATGACTTTCACGTTCATTAATTGAACATTTACGTTTTGGTGACATTTTGCAACTTTGAAAGTTGGTATAGAAAAGTTCAATTTTATGTAAATATGTCATAACTAATAAGTACTAGTAACAACTAACAAGTACAATGTGCTGATTGAATAATTAAATAAATAATAAATTACAATAATAGTTATACATTAGAGGGAAAATTCATAAAGTTGATGGTTCTCATATATTATAAACATAGATAGAGCGCGAGTCGCACTTGCCCCATTTCACCCCGCACAAGCAAGCTTACTCAAAGCCTTAAGCGGTCCGGTCCCGTGATTAGGCTTTCACACAGATATATAAAAATAGTATTTTTATATATCTGTGGCCCTGTGGGCTTTCATTTCCAGTCCATATGATCTTAATCAATGCGTCTATGTATTTTTAGAAAAAGTAATAAAATGTATATTGGCTACACTGTATTTGTACCAGTAACCTAAAATGACTCATAGGTAACGCGAGGACGTGCGGTGCATGGTGTCGTCGCTTGTCACCGAGGCGTGTAATGTATGGTTACTAAATTTTTATTTTTACTTACAATATTAGACAAATTGAAGAAATGGACCAAAATAGTAATAAAGAAGCCAAAAGTCAACCCAATGAAGTAAGTATTTTAATAATATTATTTCTTAAATGTGTACTTTTACATTACTATTTACTTATGTGGCTTTTAAATTTTTGTATTGGGTTTTTGTATTTAAAAAAAGATCATTATATAATTATTATTATTAGTGTGGTAATCTGATTATTATTGTTTATCAATTATAGCGATAAGTGTGGGCCGGTCGATCGATGGGAACGTCGATCATGTTGGCGACTATATTTTAGTATAGTAATATAGTCGCGACCGCCAACCGTGCCGTATGACAATCGGCATTTATTCTAGTTGTACGAGTGTGTTAATTAATGATTAAATTATATTGCTATATTAGTGTTGATTCCGTGACCCGTAAATAAAAGGTGTTGATGTTATATTACAAACAGTTCTTTTATTCATTTTCCCACCTTTTATTTCGTACGCTCAGGTACAATAGTGGCATAGTACGTATTTCAACGTTGTACCACATTAGTATTACTATAATTAAATCTGTCCGTTACAGACAATTGTATAAGTAGTACACAAGTATACTATAGATCACAAAACTGAAAACATGGCACAGTTTAAGAGATACACATTAAGAATACCGATTCCTGATGAATTAGAACTTCAAGGCAACTTAGTGGACAATTTTAAAATCTTCAGAAGAAAATCTAAGCTATACGCTGGTGCAAACGATTTCGATACTGTTATGTATGTACATTGTACAATATGCTATCGGTGTGCACGATATGTTATCAGAGATGACTATCTATACAATATTTATGTATAAGTATAACATTACTATTATGTGTTCCGCCGTCGTGCGTTAATAATAAATAAGTCAGTTGTGCCTTGTCAATGCGTGTAATACGTGCTCTCTAATTCCTAATACAAATGCGTAACAGATACTAGATAGTAAATTAGTAACTAGTAAGGCGAATAAAAATTAAATACCAATATTGCATAGTATCATTATTCATTGGTGATGGTGCTAATGAGTTACTTGATACATTGGGATTAACTGATAAAACTGTGAGACATATTATTTGAGGGATTGGAGACATATTGAGTTCCACAGAAAATCCTTATAATCAAACAGTTACAGAACCATATTAATTATTATCAGGTGAGATTTTTGGTCACGTTGTAATTGAGTTAAAAAAACAACCGAAAAAGTGTGACTTTGGTGAGTTAACTAACAATTTACTCAGCCTTAGAATATTTTTGGCATTTAAGACAAGGAATTACTAGAAATGCCATCACAGGAACAAAATTTAATACTAGACCATACAATTGGATGTTGTAGAGGCTGAAGCAGCAAGGCAAAACTAAACTGTGTAGTAATCGCTGAATGTGAAACAAACTACTGTGCTCTAAATCAATGGTAGACTCTGTTTCAAGTAAGTAACAAGGCTAATAAGAAGTGGAACATTAAGTGTGGAAGATGTCATCAGTGCGAAAAGATAAGACATTTTTCAAATAGGTGAAATTATATAATATAAATAATACACCCGAAAATACGTATAATAATATGAGGTCTAGGTTTTGAGACTTGTATCATAAAAAATTATCAAATTATAAGTATTTGTAAAATGATCTTTTTTTGTAAATGCTATTACAAGACTACAATTTTAATAGTGTTAATAACAGTTTTTGTAACTACCTAAGTAATATAAGTGACTTTTTAATGATTATGAATTATGATATGACATTGATAATGAGTATGGTTAGAAAATTATAAATAAAGTTAATGAGGGTATTTTACTATACTACATTAGTACCTAGGCAGGTAGTGATGGTGTATATGATTTTATATTCTGTAATAAGGTAGTGTTATGCGATATGATTATGGACAGATAATGCCTTTAGTGACTATTGCTTTTAAGACTGAGGAGAGAAGGAGTATTAATAGACTGACTAATGAATTTAGAGTTGTTATGAAATTTGATAAAGTATTGGGGATTTGTTCTGTGACCACACTTTGGTTGTTGGTAACTTCTACGTGAGATTTGGTTCTGGGTTGAGACGGTTAAGTGAAGCTTTCATACAGTAGATTTTAGAGGTAGATTTTTTATTAGCTAACTCAAATGCTAGACATCCCTTGAGACTTGAAGTTAGTGGTGTGGTCTGAAGTTGAAAAAATGTTTAAATAGAGTTATGGGGCAGATTTGAATGAAAATAAAATTTTTATTTTTTAAATTTTATGTTTTGCAGTTTAATTGAATTCAAATGTTCATATTATGTTCTGATAAAAGTTTAACACCACCCTGTGACTACCAAACTAAGGTAACCCATATTGATTACATTATAAAATGTTGAACACAAGTAACTTTTTATTCATATATATCCCATAATAGGTAAAATTCGGAGTCTAAAGTTGAAAGGGAAGAAGAAGAGAGTACCTATAGAAATTATATATAAAAAATATATATGATTAAATGTGTTCTTTATAATAATTAATAAGTAGGTAATAGACTATTGTGTTTGTACACAATAAAAAACAGAGCAATATGTTATTCATATTTTGTATAAGTTTTGATTTTTAAGTTAATACATACAATAGTACACAACACACTTTATTATAATTTTATAACTTAAAACTTTTTTATTTCAGAAAAATGGCATGAAAAAGTTTCCAGAAGATCCTGAAAACTGGAATCCAATACAGTTATTAAACCAAATGAAACCTGGTATACAATATATTGAAACTCAAATCAGTTTATGTCCATCAATTTTCCATGTGAGCTTTAAAACTGGCGATCTTTTCTTCTTAGGCCAAGGTAATTAATTTTTTGTAAATGATAAATATATATATTTATCCAGTCATCCAGACGCCCAACACATTTACTTATTGCATAAGATCAATAGAGATTGCAAATTTTTCCTCAAATCAAAAAAAAAATTATAAATAGATTCAAAATCCCATTTAATGTAAACTCTGATATCATATATGATTTTTTTATAATAACTTTACTATATTATAGAATACAAATGGTTAGAATATCAGTCAATGGCTAAAATGCAAAGATTATCTTAATATAAAAAATTCAAAAAGTCGAATACTAATTAATTTTGTCAAAATAAAGTTTATTTACATAAAAACCTACACAACAAAAATTGTTTTGTTTAATAAGTATTTATATTAAACATTGTTTCTATAGTTAATTTATATTTTATAGGATCATTGAAAAAAGAAGCCAAGATGAATTGCTGTATTGCAGCTATCAAATATTTTTACGGATTTGATTTTCATGCTATAGAAGATGATTATTCATTCACTAAGAAATAAACATATTATTTATAATAATACAGTGTATTCACACAACAGGTACCAATAAATATTTTAGTTTTATTACCTTGTTTTAGAACTAAAGGGAATATCAAATTACATGTTTGACGAAATTTAAAATTTTAAACAGTATGTGCATGTGCAGGACAACTTACATTTTTTTAAACAGCAACGCCATTTTTATTTTTGGATAAATAATTTTTTTTAATGATTTTTGATACATTTCTATTAATCTAAACATAATTTGTGGTTATTGTAAAAAATAACTTTACAGATTGTACAATAATTACTATATTAAAAAAAAAGATAAAATGTTGATACAAAAAGTTTTTTTCTAACTATAAAATAGACAAAGTTGAGTAATAAACTGAAATTTGAATTTATGTATAATCTATGTTTAAACTACTTTCAACTTAAATTCGAAAATCAAAATAATATCTGATATTAACAATATTACAATATTTCCATTGTAGATAAATAAGTTGTAAATAAGCACTTATTTGTTTTCATAATAATATCAGACATAATTTGGATTTTGGAGTAGAAGTTAGAAATAATTATTACATTGATCAAAGGCAATCAATTGAAATATTTAGTTGTATTTCTTAGCTTGAACACTATACGTTTGTTTGTATTATAATAAAAATATAATCTTTACTAATCAACTGTAAAAATTTTGTTTTTTTTATCCATTAAGATTTAAATATACTTAGTACTTATTATAATTATAATACAGATTTAATATTATTAATGAAGGGTCCAGGGCAATAACCATATTTGTATCTCCATATTATGATATTGTTCAGGAGGCACAACAAACTAAACCATTTAATTTCTTATAGAGGTATAAGATATTGTAAAGACATTTTTAAACTCTCCATTTCAAGAGCTTATACCTATATGCCTATATTTACATCTTACATGATCTTAAGTTTGAATTAACACAAATCAAAAAACATGGGTAATGGATATACCACTTGGATTTAAAAACTTGGACGGGCCGATAGCATAAAATAATAATATGCGCACCCCGGACACCTAATTGTTGACCACTAACACCTAGGACAGTTCTTGAAAATATGAGGACCAGCTGGGTGTGTAGTGGTGTAATAGCTCGAACAGCAGTGGTCGGGATTACCGGGCAAATACTGTCGAGCTACGTAATGCGTGTAGTGTATTTATGTGTATTATTTGTGTGTTATGTGTGTATATATGTGGGTGTGTGTACAATAAAACAATAATAATAAATTGGTAACACGGTTTTTGGTAATGAGTTGCTGTTGCTGTATAATACACAATAATAATGACACAAATATATAAAAAAATCACAGCAACACAAATGTATAAAATATAATCTAATAAATAAATCAAAGCCCTTATGGCTATAGACGTATATAATATATTGTGGCCCTTCTGGCCCAACAGAAAAAGGTTTAATAAAAAGCTCGGCCCTTACGACACGAACAAACCAAATTATAATAAATATGTATAGCCCTTATGGCACAATGAACAATAATATAATGATAGTAATAAATCAAGCCCTTATGGCTTAACAAGATAAATATAAAATTATAAATGTACAGCCCTTATGGTTGACAAATAAATATATAATATTTTGGCCCTACTGGCCCAACAGAATAAAGTATAATATATGTATATAAACTCACTTATTTGTCGGTGAAACCGCTGGCCAGCTGCTACCGGTGACTATATAATTCAAAGCTTAACAATAATAAAGGCAATAATATACAATGATGATGTTGATAATAATATAATAATATTTTTCCTTTATGGCTTACAACAGTAAAAATAATATAAATATAAGATGCCTTTAGCAATTAGCACCAAGAAATAAACAATAATTATAGTGCAAGGCCCTTCTGGCCCGACAATTATATATAATATATGAAAAACAATGAAGGAAAACAACCTTTGAATAAAAACTATGTAATAATATTATAATAAAGTACGCGATGATATGGTGTCGGAACAACGTACGGTAAGAGAGACAGAGTCACGGCGGCCGTGTTAAATAATATTTGCGTAGACAGCGCGGCGGCTGGCGATAACGTTTAATCTGCATATTATATAACTCACAAGACACATTCAATACAAAAATAAAACAATACAAATAACGTGATATGTGTGTGAGACCAGCTGTTCCTCCGTGACTAGTGATAATTAAATTCTTAATATATTACTTGCTACCTACTATGTTGCGGCGTCAACATTCTCCCCCGCGTTGAAAATTTATTTTTCAACTAACTCTTTGTCTGCATCTACATTTATGTCTTTGTCTGTTGGGAGTCGGCATAGTTTTACTGTTGGCCTTTTCATTTCTGTTCCTGAACCAATTCGTACTGTAACCACTCGGATTTCTCCATCTACTCCTGGATGGACCTTAATGACTCTGCCAAGCTTCCATTTGGTAGGTGGTACATGATCTTCCTTTATTATAACAATATCATCAATCTTCAATGATCCCTTTTTTGTTGTCCATTTTCCTCGAACTTGCATTTGTGGTAAATATTCTGCATGCCATCTTTTCCAAAATGTTTGACTTGAGTGTTGTACGTATTTCCATCTGCGCTTGCCTCCTGGATTATCTTGTGTCAGGTCTACTTCAGGCATTAACGTGATGGGCCTTCCAATTAGGAAGTGAGCTGGGGTCAGTGCTTCTAGCTCTGAAGGATCATGACTCATTGGTGTGATCGGTCGCGAGTTTAAACATGCCTCGACCTGGCACAGTAAGGTATTAAGCTCGCCTATAGTGAGCTTGGTTTCACCAAGCATACGAGTTAAATGGTGTTTAGCACTTTTGACCGCACTTTCCCATAAGCCGCCAAAATGTGGGGCAGAGGGCGGGTTGAAATGCCATTCAATACCTTCCTTGGCTAATACAGGTATACTTTGTTGAATTGGAATGTTGAGCTCCTTCTGAGCGCCCACGAAGTTAGTCCCATTGTCACTATATATTTTCACACAACGTCCTCTCCGTGCCATTAAACGCCTAAGTGCTGCTACAAAGGCACTACTAGATAGATTCTCCACTACCTCTAAATGAATAGCTCTAGTTGAAAAACACACAAATAGTGATATCCAGGCCTTTGTTCCGACAATTCGACGTACTCCACTTCGAACAATTAATGGCCCTGCAAAGTCAACACCTGTTACAGCGAACGGTGGTGAGACATTGACTCTTTGCTGTGGCAGTTGTCCCATTAGGGGTTGTGCAAATTGTGGCTTTGCCCTAGCACATCTTACACATTTTGATATGACTGACCGTGCTGTAATCCGTCCCTTAATTGGCCAGTATACACGTCTGATGTCAGCCAGTAGTGACTGTGGCCCACAATGTAAAAGTTCTCGATGTTTATTCTCGAANCCCACAATGTAAAAGTTCTCGATGTTTATTCTCGAAAATTAGCTTCGATACTCTATGACCATTAGGCAAAACTATTGGGTGCTTTTGGCGCTCAGGGATTTGGGCGTGTCCTAATCGTCCAACAACTAAGATCAAGCCGTCTTCTAAATACGGTGAGAGTCCCTTTAGCTTGCTATTTCTTCCTAAATCATTACCCTTTTCCAGTTCCAACATCTCTCTTGCAAACACCTCCTGCTGTACCTGCTTTAGTACTGTTATCTCCGCTGATTTAAGCTCAGATACGGTTAGATATTTGGGCACATCTAAGTTCTTTTTCGCCCTTAGATATCTTAGGAACCTCGAAATCCATGCCACTGCACATAGCAGATTCCGCCAATTGGAATAGTGCTGGAAAAGGTTGCCTAGCGGATTCACTGCCAACAATGCTAGCTTAACCTTGCGCTGCTCCGGCAGGTCCTGATTCTGGTTTGTAATGATTGATTTCTTAAATTCATCTGACTCTGACGCTAACCAATGTGGTCCCTGCCACCATAGGTTCATGCTCTGAAGATTATTCGGCGTTGTACCTCGAGAGAGAATATCAGCTGGATTTTCGCTTGTTACTACATGCCTCCATTGCTCTGGCTGCGTAGTTTCTAGAATCTCTTCTACCCGGTTGGCCACGAATGTTTTTAATCTACAAGTTTGTGAATTTAGCCATCCAAGTACTACCATCGAATCAGTCCATAAGTAGAATTTTTTAACATCCATCTCTAAGGCCTCGGACACTTTTATCGATAACTGAGTGAGTGTTAATGCTCCTCCCAGCTCAAGCCTTGGTATTGTCGAGCCTTTTAATGGCGCGACACGCGTCCTCGCACATAGTAATCGGGAGTGCCAGCAGCCAGTATAATCCTTACTTCGTACGTAGATTGCAGATCCATAGGCCTCTTCCGATGCGTCGCAAAACCCATGGATTTCAACTTCCACAGATTGGTACGGTATACACTTTCTCGGAATAGGTAGATAACTTAGATCATTAAACTCTTTGTAAAATGTATACCATCTATTTGACAATTCCTCTGGCAGCTGTTGGTCCCATTCTATTTTCAACTGCCAA